ACATTAAATTCATTTTCATACACGAATGTGTTTGTACGTGCACCTCAACTAAAGGGCGGGTTTCTGTGAGAAGTGAATAGCAAAACTGGATTTTAAAACGTAATATTGTTTTTTATGTTTATACTGAAATAAGTTAACCTATTGCATTTATATACTCGTATCGTATGCTATATGTTTATGGCTTAATTGCGACTCAGATGCTCCACTTTTTACTGCGGTAGAAAAGCTGCAGTCGGTTAATTAAGGAAATCGCGCCTCGATTGAACTTTTGTCGTGTCAAATGTGTCGTTTTGGACGTCGCCATCTTTGATATTTACTTGAGTCACTGTCGCTATGGTTACGAGCAATAGCCACAAATAGAACAGATTCATACTTGAACGTTCTGCTACTTTTATGATGTCATGGACTTGAACAGCAGTTTTGTAGTCGCTTTGGGTCATGTGTTTGACTAGGACGAACAAGATATGTTAATGTAGGTAAATCTCTATAAAAATACATTCATACATCGAAAATTATCGACTTGTTCAAGTTAATTCCACAAGATAATTTTTCTGAAAAGAATCTTTTAAACGTTCTTTGTTTCTTTCCATCTTCATGTCACTGCCATGAATGTTAAGAGTGGCAACAAAGACAGCAATAAAAGGTTAGCTAATTTTGAATTTACAAAAAAATCTGAATGTGTAGCTTATGAATACATTAAAACTGTAGTAACTGTAGTCACTGTATTTCTCTGTTTCTTTACATGATTCTTTCCAACATGCCACGGTCTGACTCTGAGCCATCACAATGGCAAACATGGTAATACATCAAACTGTTAACTTGTGTTAAAGTGCAGCATGATCCTCCACTTTTCATGACTATAAAATCTCATTAAAATGGTGAAAAACTAGACATGGACACTATCTACTGTATTAAAGAAAGTCTTTAACAAAAATAGTTGATTGTACTAAAAAAATAAGTCACCTAGGCCTCTCAGGCTATTGAATAATGTTACCTAACATGCAAATGGCTACTTAGCTATTATTGTTTTTAGCAGTCGGTCCTTTATCAGCTCAGACACCTAGCTGTGACAGTGTTCGGATAATACATTCTTCTATAGGAATTCAGGGCATGTACTTGAAAGGATTAAATTTCCTCGTCACTGGAGGTCAGTATATACCTACTGTAGATTCTTTTCCACATGTAACGTTAGTATTGCTAGCATCAGTAGGTTGTGTTGAGGTTTGTCCACTGGTGGACTGCAGTGAGTCGTGGTTGTCACATCGGGGAAAAAAATGCAACACCTAAATGCCAGTGTCATGAAATGCTGAGTCAATGATGCTTTTCAGTCTGACTGCTTGTCTTGATCTCATTAAAGTCTGCTTAAATTTACATTTAAATTATATAGGAGAAAGCTAGAATTTACAAGTGAGAATTAAAGTCAACATGAAATAAAAATTGCAACAATACACTTAATATAACAAAATATAAATGCAATAATATATCTGAAAACAAGCATCACCACTGAAATACATCAAGATGCTCTAAAGTGGGAAGTTGAGCCTTCACAACCTGTCATGAAGCCTCCTTGCATTTATGTCTGGCTCAGTTCTGTTACGAAATTTCTACTTGTCAAGATCCAAACAACTTCTGATGGATAAAAAAAAAAAAATCTAATATGTCCTACTGATGTTTTAAAGTAAAACGGGTTACCAGTGCCATTTCATGTTCCAACAAACTGAAACACGTTACTTCAAGTAGAGTTCAGCTCCCAAGGAAGTTACATGATGCAGATACCAAAACATACATCTAGAAATATATACCGATATAACTTCTCAGAAAACTTTGATTGCATTGCTACCAACTGTCCTTCAACTAAACTCACCTTGAAGACACTGTGCATTTAACTCTCACTGTTTCCATAGCACTCGGCCTTTGTTAGCAACCCAGTCTGTTTGAGCAGAGCTTTGCAAGGGTGAGAGAAAGAGAGGGAGAGGTGAGGGCTAGAAGTGAATAATGGAGGGCTGCTACTGTTCAATGATCTTGTTAGTGGTGGGATTCTGGAACAGTCGCATATGACGGAGCTACGTGTAGCAACGGCTCGCTATAAAGCAGAATCCTTCAGACGTAGATGGTTCGTTGAGCGGTAATCCAGTTCACATTGTTTGTCTTCACTGAAAGAGCGGGATAGGAGAGAGACAGAGTCTTGTCACGATTTTTATGGGTGATTTTAGTTATTTTCAAAAGCACTTCTCAATTTTTTCTTTGTGTATCGCGAATGATACCAACTTATGTAAAAGAACACTCTAGAAAATGCTGGGTGCTGGGTGAAAAATGGACAAACCCAGCAGCTGGGTTGTTTTGACCCAGCGAATGGGTTAAATGTTTAACCCAACCTTCTAGGTAGTTTTATAACTCAACTATTGTTTAAAAATTATTATATGGCTAGTTTAAAATGAACCCAAAATAGGTTGTAAATTAAAAAATTAGACACATAATTACTAGAGGCACCAGCAATAATAAAAAGGTGAACATTTATTAATAAGCAATTTAAAAAATGTTTATTTAATTATTTATTCAACTATAAGTATATTGAACATATTAGTAAATGTTTATTTCCAACCTATTTTGGGTTCATTTTCAGCAAGAAATATAGTTTTTTTTAAGCAATAGTTGAGTTCAATAAAACTACCCAAAAGGTTGGGTTAAACATTTAACACAACCGCTAGCTCAAAAAAACCCAAACGGTGAAGTGTGGTATTGCTTTTCTAAGCAATCAAACCTAAAAAAAATCCCATAAACGTATTAAAAAGAGTCAAGCATATCTAGGGACCGAACTAGTGTATATCAGAGATACAGGGATCGAGCCAAAGTAACACACCACCTAGTAACCAGCCAAACAACTAACAACCCTGTAGCAACATGTCCATGTCTCATTAATTGGTGTGCTTATATTTTGAAGTTTAGTTTCTTGCTCTTGTCTTGTCTGTTAATGATTCCTCCATTGATTGTTCAGTTGTTGTTGGTCTTTGTACATATCTGTGTCCAAAACCGGAACAATTCTGCTTATGCAGACAGTACAGAGGTGTATACTGTATACTATGAGAGTGCTGAATTAAAGGGATAGTTCACCCAAAAATGAACATTTTGCCATAATTTATTCACCATCGTGTCTTTCCAAACCTGTATGAGTTTCTTTCTTATGTTGAACATAAAAGAAGATATTTTGCAGAATGCTGGTAATCAAACAGTTGATGGCCCTCATTGACTTCCATAGTATTTCTTTCCCCTAATATGGAAGTCAATGGGGACCAACAACTGCTTGGTTCTTCAAAATATCTTATTTTTTAAAGGACGTACTCTGACTTCGTGCTCTGCATTTAACCCATCCAAGTGGGCACACACAGCAGTGAGTAGTGAACAAACACACACACACACACACACACGCACCCAAAGCAGTATGCAGCCATTTTTGCTGTGGCGCCCAGGGAGCAGTTGGGGGTTCAGTGCCTTGCTCAAGGGTCCTACAATCCCTGCCGATACCGAGACTCGAATTTGCAACCTTTGGGTTATAAGGCCCACTCTCTAACCACTAGGCCATGACTCCTCCCCAGTGTATTGTTTTGTGTTCAACATAGTTGCTTCTCTAGTAAAATCATACCACTGACAGGAAATATCTAGTGTAAATTCAGATTCTATGAAAATATAACTAAAAATCTGTCCAGTGAACCATCCAGTCAGTCTTTCTACAACTGTGCTCTATTTGTGGATTGTTTTCAATCCTTCTCGAGACCAGAGCGTTTTTTCTTTTTTTCAGCAGAGTGCTGGTGTCTTTAGGAAGCTCAGGATGGGGAGGATGTTTCAGACGTCAGAGCTACAGCAGACACCTGTCATCTATTGGACACTGTGTTTTTCCTCAGCAGCTTTGAAGCTTATCTGTACGTGTACTGTATGTGTGTGTTTGTGCTTTGCCAAAATGTTCTACACAAAAAAATTAACAACAGAGCCACTGGAAAATAATATATTACGGAATCACTTTCTGTTTAGAGGGTGTGATTCAATCCTCTATGACTTTATAGTTATATTTTCAACCTTTCCTTCTGCCTTTATTGGAGTGGAGAAAGAGGAACGAATTGTGAACAATTTTTCATTTGATTTTATTTGTTGGTATTTAATTTGTTGTTGATTTTAATGCCTTTCATTTTTGCTATACATTTTAGTATTTATGTATCTTGGCTATACAAGCTCTACCATGAACTCAAAAGTCACGATTTTGTGCATTCATGCTTTACCCTAACATCTTATTTTCTGTATTCAGTTTGAAGTTCAGCCTTGAGCCTGTGCGTTTCCAGCAATCAAGACTGCAGTGCATTCTTCCATCCTCCTTCCACTGCTCCTCTGCATTGTCGCAAAACATCTAGCGAGATTATGTAAAGTCTCTCTCAGGTCACAAGGGTACAGATTGCTATTCACATGAATGCTGTTGGTTGAATATGTCTGTGGATGGGAATTAATTGAAAAATGGTTGCCATGCCATGAAAAGCATTTTTTTTTTCTCACAGACCCAAGGCCACATACAGCATTGGAGTGATTGTTAAGGTAAGCCGTTTGGATCTCTGCAGATCACATTGAGAGCGACAAAATGTTCTGTTAGGAAAGAAAGTATGAGGTCTTTGGGTCAAAACTTTCTTAATCAGCACTTAGATTTGTTTTAAAATATTACAATTGTTGTAAATTGTGTACATTTGCTAATTTTTTGGATTTCTGGCAGTTGACATTCATATGAATATAATTTTAGCTTTTCTGCTTATATGTGATTTATACTGTATGTAGTCTAGTTCTATCTATATAGGAATTAACTTTAACTTTACTTGAAAACACTAAATACAATTAAGTATAGACTATGGGGAAATTTGAAAGGAAACTATTGATGTAATTTCAGCTGCTACCACACTATGAAGTGAACGCTATAG